GCAGAGGGAGGGGGACGGATACCTCGATTTTTCTCTCTCTGTCTCTCTCTAGTGAGCACACATGCCTTATAGTGAACTGAAAAAAAAAAAATTGGGCCAACCCATGGTGTGGTGGTCAAGGCACCTGGATCCCAAATGACTAACCTGGTCTAGTCCCAGACCTGGTGGCTTGAGAAACACACTAGGAGTGTATGCGTGTGTGCCCCAACTCCTGACAGGATGGAGAAATGGAGGAGAAGGCACTATGCTTTCTCCCTTTCTTTCTCTCGCTTTCTTTCTTTCCCTCTCTCTAGCAAACACGTGTCCCTCCAGCAAATTTAAAAACAATTACAATACCATAGCATGCTTTAAAATTTATAATTTCTTAAATCATCAAATATCTAGTTAGCATTTACATTTCTCTGATAATTTAATACTTTTTTTTTTTAATTTTTAGAAATCAGAGCCAGCTGCGGTGACACGAGCAGTAGCACCATGCTCTGTGCTGCTGAAGCCATAGGGAAGATCAGGCTTTGGTTCCCAGGTCGACTTGTACACTCCAGGTCTGTGATCCTGGCTAGCTGGCAATGCTGGAGGAGGATCATGGCATGGATCCACTAAAGGTAACCCGTTGAGGGCACCTCTCACTTTCTCTTTCTGTCTTTATTTCTCATGGGAGAAAAAAAAAAAAGTTAAAAACTGGTTTGCTTGATTTAGGAGCCAAATAAGGTTTTTGGAAGATATAAGACAGAATTCATTCTGCGTTTTTTTTTTAAAGAGAGATTTTTGCTATAGGGTGCATGTGCTTGCCAGAGAGATGGAGAGAGATAGACAGAAAGTGAGAAATCACCCTCCTGCAGGGGGGATGGCCACACTGCAATCCCTTTTTCCTCCATTCTCCTGTTGGGGTTTTGGGCATGTACACATACGCCCGGCGTGAGTTTTAAACTGCTGGGTCTGGGACTCAAATCACTGTCAACTACATGGGAGTCCAGTGATATAACCATTACACCATCTTCTGGTCCCCAGAATTTATTCTAATCTTGAAGTTTCTCCCTCTCACTTTTTGTCTTCTAATTTTACTGATTAAGGGAATTAGGTATTTATCCTAGTTTCTCTCTTTTTGGATTTTGCTGCTTTATTCCTGGGGAATGTTTATGCTATTTTGTACCCTAGTCTTTTTTTTTTTTTGGAGAGGTTTTTGCTATAGGGCGCGTGCGCTCGCCAGACAGACAGAGAGAGACAGAGAGATAGAAAGCAGGAAATCACCCCCCAGGGGGGATGGCCACGTTGCAATCCCTTCTCCTCCCTTCTCCTCTCAGGATCTTGGGCACGCACACACACGCGCCCGGCGTGAGTTTAAGCCACCGGGTCCGGGACTCGAACCACGGCCGACTACATGGGAGTCCAGCGACATAGCCATTACGCTAACTGCTGGTCCCTACCCTAGTCTTTTCATATAACCTAACAAACAATGTCCCATGCTGCCACGTAGTTTCCACCGCCTCATATTGTTCCATCCAAATGGATGTATCATTCTTTTTTCACTGGACATTTAGTTTGCTTTTGGTTCTCCACTACTATAAATATTGCTGGAGTGAACATCCTGCACATCACAGCTTTTCCTGTGCATGAGATGACCGCCTTAGAATCTGCTACCAGAAGTGAATCATGTTTGAGGCAGGAACAATGCTTCAGCTTCTTGGAACATACTACCAATGATTTGTCCAAAGGGTGGCATGCCCCCCAGTGTCACATGAGTGTGCTGTCCCACATTTTGCACAGTGCTCAGGCCTATTTACAGTTGAAGGATGTTTGGTGAACACATGGTAATTATGAGGACAAAGAGAGAAGGAAAAAGATGTCAGGGACTCTGGCTAAATAAAGCAGAGAGCAAGCCACGATTTACCACAAACCTGGGATGAGTCAGAACTCGGTTCATTCCCAGTTGCAAAAAAAAGAGACCAACTTGATAACAGGAGTTATTAATAGGACATGACATATCCAATAAACTTTTTGTTAGACCCTGTGTGTCACTCAGAACCTTATCTGAGACATAGGTCCAGTCTGGGTCACTGAACTTTACGGAGATGGAGGAAACTGGCAAAGATCCAGAATGCTTGATGGACTTGATGGAAGATGGGAGAAATCCTAGAGAAGTCGAAGGAGTCCAGCTGGCTTAGTTAGGAAAAAATAGACACATCTTTCTTGCCTCAGTGATGGGAGATTCTGTGAAAAGGACAACACTCAGTTGCTTACTTATGTCCGTAGAAGGATGACCATAAGAAAACAGGGGTCTTGAGCTGGCTTTTTTTTTTTTTAATGGAGATTTTTGCTACAGGGTGCATGTGCTCACCTGAGAGACAGAGAGCAAAAAATCACCCCCCAGGAGTGATGGCCAGCTGCAATCCCATCTCCTCCACTATTCTCTAGAGATTTGGGGCATGCATGCACATGTGCCTGGCGTGAATTTCAAGCTGCCAGGTCCAGGACTTGAACTGCAGTTGGCCATATGGGAGTCCAGCGATGTAACCATTATGTCACCTGCTGGTCCTAGGCTAACTTTGTAGCACAGTGGTTAAGTGTGGTGTTTTGGGAGCTAGACTCCATATGGCCAGTTTGAATCCCTGATCCTACAGCTTGAAAGGCACATACCAGGCACACATGTGTGCATGCTCCCGAATCCTGATGACAGGGAAGAATGGAAGAAAAGGGATTATGGTACGACCACACCCTACTGGAGGGTGTTTTATCTTTTCCTCTGTCTGGCAAGTGCACGTACCCTAATGGAAATAAAAGATAAAAAAAGAGAAAAGGGAGAGCCAGCAAGTGGCATGGTGGTTAAGATCCTGACTCCCATAAGGCCAACTCTGCAGTTTGAATCCTGGATCTGGCAGCTTGAAGAACATGCTGGGCATGTGTGTTTGCATGCCCAAAATCCTGGGAGAAGAATGCAGGGGAAGGGATTGTGGCGTGGCCATCTACCAGAGAGTGATTTCTCACTTTTCCTCTCTCTCTCTGGCAAGAGCACAATGCCATTTGGCAAAGAACTTAATTTTTTAAAAAGGGGCCTTCATGAACTAGGAGAAATTTCTGTAGGACACAAGATAAAACTTTTTTAGACGCTGAAGTGAATATTCAGATCTTAGGATAAACATTGTTGGGCCATTGGTCCTGGAAATATTTGAGAAGATGCCTGTTCTACTCTAGATGGTTCTGATACCCACTGCCTGGTGTCCCCAAGGTATCTTGCAAGGTCCAGCTCCAGCTTTAGCTCAGCTGTTTCCAGGCAGCCCCTTGGAGAGGGGCAGGTGGGGTCTGAGGGAAGTGCTTCCTTGGTTTCCTGGGCCAGAATTTTCCTTCCCCATTTCAGGGTATACACTCAGTTCCGGGTACATTTACAAGGCAGTCAGGTTGTCGCGCGGTGACATCACCTGATCCTGATATTCCAGTCCTGCCGTGCATAGAGTGGACTTGGAAAGAAGCGAGTTGGAAATACCCCCACAGGGCTCTCTTGGTGATGTGGAGAGTGAGAGAGACCCAGGACTGAAGAGCCACATAGTGCAGCTTCGTACAATGCAACAGATGCTTTACATACTTTTTTTTTTTTTTCAATTCACACAACCTTGGAGGTAGAGTTTTACAGGTGTAAAAATTTGCCCAGAGACACAATACCCAGAAAGGGGTGCCTATGCTATATCTACCCGGCAGTAAGATCTATGCCCTCGACCTTAGAGCACGCAGACCAGTGCCTTCTACCCAAAGTTGCCAAGCTGACCTGAGACAGAAACTCAGGCTCGATACCCACTGCCTGGTGTCCCCAAGGTATCTTGCAAGGTCCAGCTCCAGCTTTAGCTCAGCTGTTTCCAGGCAGCCCCTTGGAGAGGGGCAGGTGGGGTCTGAGGGAAGTGCTTCCTTGGTTTCCTGGGCCAGAATTTTCCTTCCCCATTTCAGGGTATACACTCAGTTCCGGGTACATTTACAAGGCAGTCAGGTTGTCGCGCGGTGACATCACCTGATCCTGATATTCCAGTCCTGCCGTGCATAGAGTGGACTTGGAAAGAAGCGAGTTGGAAATACCCCCACAGGGCTCTCTTGGTGATGTGGAGAGTGAGAGAGACCCAGGACTGAAGAGCCACATAGTGCAGCTTCGTACAATGCAACAGATGCTTTACATACTTTTTTTTTTTTTTTTCAATTCACACAACCTTGGAGGTAGAGTTTTACAGGTGTAAAAATTTGCCCAGAGACACAATACCCAGAAAGGGGTGCCTATGCTATATCTACCCGGCAGTAAGATCTATGCCCTCGACCTTAGAGCACGCAGACCAGTGCCTTCTACCCAAAGTTGCCAAGCTGACCTGAGACAGAAACTCAGGCTCCTAACCATCTGCAAGGAATCTTTATGGGCACATGCCTACTGGGCCTATTGGGGAGGTCCAGGGTGTGTCCAGGTCCAGGCCAGCCTGGGTCAGGGGTAACTAAGGAGTAGGCAGGGCTTGACAAATGCTACTTCACTCTGCCCTACACCCCACACACTTCGTGGTAAGCCAGCTCCCAGGAGAGGCCAGGAGGGCCCAGGAAGGCCCAGGAGGGCAAAGGACCGGGCTAGTCCGTTCAGAAAGGAGCCAATCTGGGGTGAGGGCGGAGGTAGCGAGCTAGAATGGAAAAACCCTGCACTTGGGGTCAGAGTATCTGGGATCTAGTCCAGTTTGGAAACCCAACAGGGACCTACGGCCAGTTAACTGAAAACTCCGAGTTTCCTCATCTGCAAAACCCGGGCAAGGGTAAACCACACAGGGCGCAGGCGCAAAAGCTGAATCGTTACACACCAAAGTATTAGCATCTGATCTTACTGTTGTGTCACGGTCCAGCTGTGCAACCTCGCAGAGGCGGGGCCAGGACCGGGAGAAAACTACAACTCCTAGGAGGCGGCGGGAATATCGGTAGGGAGGCAGGGGAGAGACTACAACTCCCAGGAGGCGCCGGGCGGGCGGCGCGGGGCGGTGACGTGTCGGGGCCGGCGCGGGGCGCTGATTTGGCCGGAGCTGCCAGCGGGGTGGCTACTGCTGTGGGTTGTTACAGCTGCTGGAGCAGCAGCGGCCCCTACCCCCTGGCACCTTTCCTAGGCCTTCGACCTCCAACCCCGCACTGTGAGTCCAGACGGGCGGCTTCGGTGGTGCCGGAACCGGGAGGGCCCCCGGGCTAGAGGAGATACAGGAGAGAAGGTGGGGCTGCTGGGGAGGCGCCCCGGGCTGGAGGAGACCCGGGCTGGGAGATTGGGGGGTGTGGGAGTGCATCAGCGGAGGGGTAGTATCAGCCAAGAGGGTGCCCAAGGAGGAAGCTGGGAGTGAGAGCCAGGGAGTGGATGTCGGGGAGGAGTGCCTAGGCTGGGAACGAGGGACGGCGGACCGGGACAGCTGAGTTTTGGGAATAAAGGTTTGGCTGCCTCCAGGGCTGGGTGATCGCATGGAGGTGAGGGTGAGGCCCCGGACCGCACCAGGCTTGGAGTGCGAGGTCCCAGGATAGGGAGCAGAGTGGGAGGAGCACTAGGTGCCTCCAAGAAGGTGCTGGAGGTCTTAGAAAACCCCAACTACAGCGAGAACTCCGCCTCCTCGTTCGTCTTTCTCGAGTTCGCCTCGGTCCTTGCTTTTCACTCCCACCTTCCAGTCCGAGGGGCTGGGCCAGAGTTGAGAGGTGAGCAGCAGTGGTATTGTAGGTGTGGGGTGGGCGGAGTGGAAATGGCGTTGTGGCTTGTTGCCACGGATTCCCCGTTGGGGTCTCCTGGGTACAGGCTGGGATGTTTTGAACTGCTCACCCAGAAGGTAAGTTTGCTGTCTAAAGGGCTGCCGTTGAGGGGGAGGGAGTGGGAGCGCTCACCTGGCGGCCGTTCAGGGGTGAGCTCAGGTCTCAGCTTGAGTGTCTGACTGGCTAGGCCGGGATATTTGTGTTTGGAGCCAAGGAGACTGAAAGAGGGGGGTAAAAAAAAATCCCCAGCAAAAAAGTGGTTAAGAGAACAGAGCTGCTGCAGGCCGTGGTTTGAGACAGGTTATGAAACCACATCAGGGTCTGGCACTGGCAGCCACCTGCCAGCTAAGGCAGCAGAACTTCTCAGCCTCTGCCAGCCCTGGCCCCCCCTTTCTCCACTTCTAGGAGAGGGGGTCAGTTGGTTAATTTGCTAATGGGAGTGATACATGCCCATTGCCACGCGGAAGTCTCATGTTTCCTGGCTGCCAGTCTTTTTCTTAGTTATTGATCTGTTGTTTCTGTTTGGTTGTCTGTTTTTTTTTTTGGGGGGGGGGCAGTCGTCCTGGGGTTCTCTGCTCTTAGACCACCTAGTGTTCAGGCTTCAGGAAGACCCTCACCAGGGTGAGCTAGGACCTAGGTCGAGGCCCTTCCTAGACTCGTTAAGCTTTTCGGATGCCCTATTATAGCCAGAAAGGCATATAGGGCTTTGTGATCTGGGTTTCAACAAGGCTCCTGGCACTCCTAGACAAAAAACTAGGGAGGGCTGGAGGTTTTTTACACCTACACCTCTGTAGGTCTGGGTTATGGAGTGCAGTATTTCTTGTCACAC